TGTAATTAAAAAGTAGAAAAAGCTATGTATCCTACAAATTGAAAATGACTTGAGAAAAAGATAAAGTATCCACTGTTTTTCATATAAAAGACAATGCTAAACACAAAAAAATGGTTTTTTTTTTTCGAAATCTTTAATTCGGATCCTCCTGAATCCATCAACGTTTTGAATTTTGATTTTCAATTACCAAACCGCTTTAAAATGGTTTGTTTAGATTTGAAGTTTTGCGAACTAGTTCAATCTTTCAAATCATTTGCACAAACAAATAAAGTTAAATCTTAAAGTAAATTAATTTAAATTTTATCCAACCCCCAATTAAAATACAAATTCATATAAGACTCAACTCAATTAGACAATTATTCAAATAAATCTATTAATGAAACAATACCCCATTTACCCATTAATCATCACAATTAAGAATGCAAAACTATTGTTGGATCATTTTTCAGTCATCCATCACAATTGAACAGATAATTAAATCTAAATTTTAATTCAAACTCATATCATTTATTTTCCTTATATTTCTGGATTTCAGCTCAATTTCTACCCAATTATTTTTAATTTTTGGTAATTGTTTGATATATTCTATTGATAGTTGTGTTGTTTTATTTTGATTTGTGTTGTGTTCCCTTTAATTTTTAGTTGAACAGTGTTCTTTTTTGTCTATTTGAGTTTCAATTTCATGGTCAGGTCACTCAATTTATTTGTTTAAGTTAGTTGCAAAATTTTACAGTTAATATGGTTTCATTCTGAATTGTTGGGTGTTCTTTTAAACCTTTAACTTAATATTTTTACAGAAATTAGAATAGCTTGTTTATTTTGTATGTTTTTTATTTGCTTATTTGAAAGTATTCACTAGATAATATTTTCGTATAAATCTCTATTATTGTCATAGTAAGCGACTTATTTACTTTTTTCAGTAATAAGGATTAAGGCTCCGTTCGGAAGGGATTAATAGCCAATTAAAATTGAAAATATGGTCGTTATTGGGTCCCACTCGTTTAATAAAAGTCAACAATAACGACTATATTTTCGATTTTAATCCCTCCCATACAACCTCTAAGTCAATTTTTTCTACTGCAATTGTGCCTATGCAAGTTTAGTAAGATTAAAGATTAATATTTATGATTTCACTTGTTCGATATATGTTGTTATTCTTTTGTTTACTAAATTGTGATTTTAAATCGAAGCAAATCAGAAAAAAAATGATTTGATTTGGTTCGAAAAAGTTTCTA